TGGAGACTTTCAAGCCCCACCTGGACACATTTCTGTGTGACGTGCCCTGGGTGCTCCTGCTGCACCAGAGGTTTGGACTCTATGATCTCCAGAGGTCCCTCCCAACCCCTGTGATTCTATGAAAAGTGTAGTGATGGTAAAAGGAGTTTTCAGAAATCATTTCATTTCATTTGCTTCTTTGCCAAAAGCACCTTCACAGATCAGGTGCATTAAGGGGCAGGGGAACAAGACAATGTAAAAGCAGCTGTTGTGCCAGCAATGGGTGCAGAGTCTTGATAATTTAAAGCAACCTTGTCTGTGCTGCTGCAGCCCCTCTCTCCCTCTTCCCCTGCTCTGGCACTGGGGTTTGCAACCCTGAGCAGAGAGGGAACCTGCCTGAAAAACAGGGGGAGGCAAAGGTGTGTGGTTTTTACTGCTGGGATCCAACATGGTGGGAGGAAATGGAGGATAGAACCACACACTGGGATTAAACCCCCACAGCCCAATGAAAGCAGCAGAAGGGAGAAGTTCAAAAGGTGATACCTCTGTTGTCTCTACAGCTCAGGTTTCTCCACCATGGTGGCAGCACTCACCCAGAACTGGCACAGTACAATGCCAAGAACCTTCTTGTCACAGTGTGTCATACATGGGCAACACCTCAGGTCAGGCTACAAAGAGTCCTCAGGAGAGCTTCAGGATTCCTACACAGAATCCCAGACTGGTTGGGGTTGGAAGGGACCTTGAACATCATTTCATTCCAACCCTCCTGCATGGGCAGGGACACTTCCCTGTCACTGGGACCTTCCATTCCATTTCAAACCTGCAACCTTAGTTTCTGTTGTTCATTAGACACTCTCAGCATTGAGCAAGAGTGTGGAGCACCTGACAAACATGAGCACAGAAAGGGACAGCAGTGAGCTATGGAGCAGAACCCATCCCAGCTCCTCAAAGCACACTTCACAGAGTGGTTTGGGTTGGAAGGAAGCTTAAAGATAATCTATCCCCAACCCCTGCATGGGGAGGGACACCTCCCACCAGCCCAGGCTGCTCCAAGCCCCATCCAACCTGCCCTTCAACACTGCCAGGGATGGGGCAGCCACAGCTTCCCTGGGCAACCTGGGCCAGGCTCTCACCACCCTCACACCAAACAATTTCCTCCTCATGTCTCACCTCAATCTCCCTCTTCCAGTTTTAATCCCTTCCCCCTTGTCCTCTCCCTCCCTGCCCTTGTCCCAAGCCCCTCCCCAGCTTTCCTGGAGCCCCTTCAGGCACTGGAAGCTGCTCTAAGGTCTCCCTGGAGCCTTCTCTTCACCAGGCTGAAC